GGGGGGGGGGGGGGGGGGGGGGGAGTTGGGAACAAAAAAAGGAATAACGGTCCAGGAGAAACGCGAGCCTAACTAATGGAGTGAACTGTCGAAATAACTTTTATTTTTCGCAGCTTCGCGTAATCTCGGCTCGCTAAAGAGATCTATCTAGGGATTTCGTCTGCACCACCATACACCTTCCTCATACTTATCCAACAACTTTTTGACCCTTAGCGAAGGTAACAGCAGCGGATTCGGAAACTTTGACTTTTAGGCGTGCTTTGCAGAAAGTGAGATAACTTTTTGATATATCCGGAAAGGTCACGGGGTATGTCTTACCTTCTGAGTCGGAAGTGTCCGAAAGAGGTGGTTCGTTGGCAATGTATTGACGACCACTTAGTAAATTATTTTCAACGACTGGTCGTTTGTCTTCTAGCTGTCTTCTGAAGCCGCGATGATCGTCCTGAAAATCGAGGAAAAATATAGATTTTTGTATGACGCTTATATATACCTTAAGAATAAAAAATAAAATTTCATCGCGATAGGCCTGTACGCTTATAAAGAATATATTCTGATCGTAGAAAATGAAAGGTCCTCGAAATATTTTTGCCATGCGGATGTGTCTCACGTTAAGGGGTAGTCTTAAAGAATCATCCCCTTTAAATCCTCAATACATTCCCCCGAGTTGCTAAAGTGTTGCTACAGTGATCCGCAATGATACTTGAGGTAGATACGTTAGAGAGATATGTATGCCGTAATGGCGTTCTGCGTAGAGGACAGAAAATGAGGTAGGTAATTTAGAATTAGCATGTGGCGGCATGTGCATCCATAATTAAATTTAGCGAAGCAGCAGTGCAAGAAAACTAGCGACATGCAAGCCTCTAGTGGGTAAACCCACTTTTGCAATATCGCACGCTTCGTGGTGAGATGTGTTAACAAAATTGGCTAAGGTTCTCTTTCTTGTTTTTTTTTTCTTATGTCTCTCGACTCCATGAGACTGCACCGAGTACATAGAACCTAGCTGAACGTAGAATTTTATTGTTAAAAAAATCCAATACAAAAAAAAAACGTACAAAAAAAAAGTTTAGAACGTTCCATTTAAAATGATCCATTTTAAACAGAAATTTCGTGTTCTTAAACGTGCTTATTTATGGCTACTGCAAGAAGATAAGGAATCGAAGAAAAAACAGTGAAATAAAAAAATTTTCGTCAAATGCCTCCCTCAATATCTGACACCCTCGTAGCGCCGTCGGTTAGTCAAAGTGCGGGAATCGTATGCCGTATCAAATGGCTTTTAAACTCCTGAACCACCGAAACAGACCCCACCGTAGCGACGCGGCAGTTACTTAACACTTCCCTCCAATCCAGCCATGTCATTATCGCACCAGTATTATTCCTCAAGCAGCACTCCCGCTAATGCCGCAGTCCTCTGGGCAAAGGAAGTTCCGAAAGTCGTCGTTTCTCTTAGGAGCCAAGAAACAGGATTGTATAAGGAGTGCGTATATACCGTATACCCAGGGAGAGTTCTCTGATAACATTGTTTCGCCAGCAAGTATTAACCCTCTGCCAGTCCATGTATACCAAAGTCGTTCAGCAGAAATTGATTCGCATTTTCAGCCATCGAACAAGATTTATAACACCAATGTATCCCTCTATAACACATGTTACCAGTGACTACCCTTATTCGCGTACAAACATCTAAGAAAAGATCCCTTCTATTTTATATGTCGTATGGACAGTAGGTTACTTATTTTAAAAAATCCACAAGATTTAACTGAATTTCAACCGGAATCCATTTAATTTTCTGTCATTCGAAATAGTACCTGTCACGTTAAATAAACGTTTCCGACAGTACACCTTATAAAGACAAAATTACACAAGATATCAAATGGAGCCGCAGATTCGTGAATTTTCATACAAGCTAAGGGGCTGAAATCCACACCCCCTCCTGTTATATTCATTAGCGTAACAGCTGTTCGGTAAAGCACCTGCTGCCGCTTACCGAGCCATACGTATTTGTCCACAGAGGATACAGCCCGCTTCAATTATGCACGATTATGCGTAACCGTGTAATGGCCGTCCGGGAGAATGGTCGAAGCCGTTTTCTCAAATTCACCCCGGTGCATCGGACTATGCTAAAATGCCTGGCGTTGTTAATGACGATCAGCCGTAACCTATACATAGGCCAGTATACGTGTAAAGTTTCTCGATTGTTACGTAACGATGCATACGAGATCTGTTTAGCTGTTTCATCACTATTCGGTCCAAGCTATATCATCAGTAACTCCAAATACGGAAGCTGATCATAACTGACCTACACCTCACGATGACATTGATGATCTACAACATAGTCCTCCTTATCTCTGACGTGCACTCGGGATTATTACGTGGGGCTGATATATGCATATAGGTACGAGCCACGTGCACGTGGCTAATCAGGATTAGTACACACGACAAGCCGTCAATCTTTGAACGTCAGGATGTCAGTGATCCTCGCATCTGAGAGACTGAATCTATTATACCATTGATAACAGGTGTACCGATATACCGTCGGTGCGACAGGAGTCGAGAAAAGCCGCGTTTGCAATGTGTCAATGGACAGTGCTGGATCATAGCTGAATTTACGTGTTTATTTTAGCCCCCTTCTATAGGAGGGGTGTACGTGTCGGTTAAAGTAAATCGAATTTTTACGTGAATTGCCTAAAGAAAATTGACCCGCCCGGGCCATTTGGCGAACCTTCGTAAATCACGTCGGACTATCGTCGTTTCGGGGGAGACTTAATCTCTTCGTCAGATTCGTTATACCTTCGTCCATCCCCTGGAGCTCGGACAGTGTTTTCAAGAAACGACGAGGGATCGCTAATAGTCAGGGTATCAAATGAACGTTAATACCCAGAGATATTAGGGTTGCGGTAAAAGGTGGACAGGAGGACGCCTATCGATAAGGAATATGTGTATGCTTTAATGTATACCTCCTGACGTATGTATTCGGTAATCGGGTAATTTTATATAATTAAACAAAATTTTTATTGAATTTCAATTAAAAAATTTTACCAACCTGCTGTTTCTGCAGAGCCGCTATGTCCCCGCAAACGGGTCCTAATCCTGTTAATTCCGTATCCTTTCTGATAACCCATTCTATGAGTTCTCGTAGTGACAGCAAAAGAGCGTTCCAGTGTTCCGTGTTGCTTTCCAGTCGATTTCTGAAAAAAAAAAAAAAAAAAAAAAAAAAAAAAAAAAAAAAAAAAAAAAAAAAAAAAAAAAAAAAAAAAAAAAAAAAAAAAAAAAAAAAAAAAAAAAAAAAAAAAAAATAAGAATTTGAAAATACTTTAACAAGCGCAACAGCCAGTACGCGGAATAGCACTAATGAATGAAAGGGATCCGAATCCGACGGGCGAAGTAATTTCAATCACAATAACGCCACGAGGTGATAAAGCCCTTTAGTACCCTATAAAGTGGGAAATGTATATGATATATATCTATATATGAGAAGAATATAAACGTGATGCGTTTACGTCAAGTCGTATTTACATTTTGCGCTTACGCCTTGCATCTAGATGCGACTTGGAGGGATGCTGGCTCCGTTGAGATTCTGTACGAGGGGTAAGGGAGCATTCTGGGTCAGAAGGGATAGCTGTTGGGTTTTAGATTTATATTTCCACATTGTTGTGCTGCACCGCAGAGCCGTTATTCTGGCAGGTGACGTCATATCGCCAAGAAACAGACTGCGAATATATTAAGGTTATTGTTACGTCGATGAAAATCTTGAGGAATTCTTAAGGGAGCCGGCGCGCACTTCTGAGAGGATTTTCTGAAGCGTATTTTGTATATCTGCGGGTTTGCGAAAAGGACGCATAGATATGATAGATGCATAGAGAGAAGCTGCGTCCGCAAGAGCTGCAGTCACTCATAACGTCAACGCGTTATATAATATGTTACTGGATGAAACTTTTGGTACGCAGATACAAGTACGTGTTTGTGTACGTTCACATTTATTCGTTTACTTGTGATATATCTGTAAAATTTTTGGTGTTACACGAGTATACTTTTCTTCTTTTTATTCGAAAGTTCTGAGAAATTTAATGGATTAGAAAAGTCTATCCTTTTTGTAGCAAGTATTTGTTCGCAGCGTTGTATAATACTATCGTACGGGTAAGTAGGTTTGATCGTATTGCGGGGACTGTTTGAACTTGTACGATCAGCAAGACAAAATAATAGGGACGAAAAACTTAATTGGAAACGCTCGACTCGACTGGAGTTCCAGCAGTAGGAAACTTTTGATTACGTGGAATTGCCGGTATGCCCGCGATAGGAGATTAAGGATAATTAAAATACCAGGACAAAACCGCGAAACAGAAGATAGTAAGGAAAGTGAGCACAGCTACGGAAGTATCTGGCAGGACCTATTTTACGGGGATTAAGTGTAATTAAATACGAATTTAATCGATGTTGACTTGAGCTCCTGAAGGCACAGTCCTTAAATTAATTCAATCGTCATCAGTACCGTAGCTTTCGAGTATCGAAAAATTGTATCGAGACTCTAATACTATCCCCGTTGATCGTTATTACGATTTAACTTTTTTTCCCACATTTTTACATTGTCTCGATTTCACCAGGAACATCCTTTTCTCTCGTTCCGTTTCTCATCCAACAACGTCCCACTTGCGATTTGCCACTTGGCGCGACTCCTCTGGCATTCCCTGGCGAGTGTCTCTTTCATAAACGCAATAAACCCTGCAAATGGAATTACTACGGCGCGCTATATAACTCGACCCAGGGACAATTTACCAGCACAATCCCAATCCAAACAAGCGCGGACGAAAACCGTCTAAACTTCTGCCCATAAACAACGAGACTATTAGCGGCGAGAACGTTGCACTCCACGACTTCGGGCTTGGATACCAAATGGTTTAATCCAAGTGCGGAAGTAACCCAGAGCCATTGGATTCAGTTTGCTTACACGTTAGTCGACTTTGTTATGTCACGCCGAGTCAACAGTAGTACTAAATATGACGACTTCCGTATGTCTTATACCTCCGAAAGAAAATCCCGGGAAACGCATTGACGTTCGAAAACCGTTTCGTCGTCGTCAAACACTTCGCAGCGGGACGCGCGTCTTATATACGCGAAGGACGGGATTTGTAAAAAGATTTGTAAGAGACGATCTAACTTTTTCAATCCTTCTCTCTTGGGATTCACAATGGCTTTGCCATGCCAGTAGGTACCAACAAGACGACTACACTCGCTGTGTACGTCTTACCGGAAATCGTTTACCGGCATTCTAGGAGCCGAGCAAAATCGTATACTAAATCTACCTTAACAAGAAATCTTTAGTGGTACGTAGATGGATGGCTCAAGCAATAGGTTGGAGTCAGTGAAGTATATGCCTTATCACTGACTACATATAAATACACATGTACAAATATTGTCCTTGATATCGAAACGGTACTATTCATCGTTCTGGCGAATTTAGCTGCCGTCAGATTAACTGAGATGCTGCAGTGACCCACTGAACTAACTTTAGGTTCGCACAACTTACAATCTCCAGCTCTCTTTTGTTCTAGCTAATACATCATTTTCCAGATACCACTTTGATTGTCACATCGTCCTCCTCCGTTCCTTTCGCGTTTTCTCACCTTCTCTTCTCTGCGTCATCAACTTTTGTCTTCCACTCGCACAATACCAGTCTCATTACCAAACTACCATTTCCGTCTGGATCCTTTAAGCCACCTGTGTATTTCACGCCGTTTCTCTTTTTCCATCATCATTCTCTTGGCTTCGCCTTTCATCTCATGCTCTACCTACTTTCTTCCGTCAAACAATCATATAGTCAACCACCCCCTGAACTTATCTCCCGGAAATTAGAAATTTCTAGGGAACTAAGTTATCGGGGCCAAAGCATGTACTGCGCCTCGATACCACGTGGGTGTCAACCTTCCGATTCAGACATCGTTAAAATTATTGTCGATCGTCGTCTTCGACAAAGAAATACTTTCTTGGATCGTCGCCAGGATCCCACTGAATTTATGATCACCGATTTATGGATCTATGCGGATTTCTCGAGATATTCTTTTACCACGTGCGAAGCAGACACAAAACTTATGTAATAATGGCTCACTCGATACGTGTTTTGCTGAACGGTGAATCTTGGAGTAACTGAGCTAACCGAGTGTCGCATCTGGTTCGATGGGATTTGCAATACCTGGGAGCACAGAATGGACTGTATAAACATGGAATACATACATTATTAGAAGGGAAACCTCGGCGCATTTCTCCTGGCGTGTGCCACGTGTACTAAACTGCGGAATGGCTCCCATGGATTAATGCTAAGCCACACCTTATCATAACCCGAACTCGAATTATTTATCCCTGCACATCCGATAAGGTATGTGTGATATATGTATATATAGTATATATATGTATATAGACGCAAGTTGCAAAATGAGTTAGTGCCGGATATGGTCGTATTCTCCTTCGGATAAGACTGGCCATTTATGCCCTTTTTTTTCGTATTATCATTTATTACTCGCAGTGTCATATAAAAATAACTTCAATTTTCGAGAAAAGGTCAGCCGCTCCATATACATATATGGTTTCCTGTTTTCTATATACGATTCACATGTGTGACTCCACACGTAACAATCTTTTTGATTCCCCTACGTTTGTCTCTTTCATTTTTATATTATCTACTTTCTTTCTTTGGCATGTATACATACATACATATATATATATATAGCATGCAGTATACCCATGTCAGATGTTGCCACGTATGGTATACGTATAACGGATTTCCGGGAACGAAGATTATTAAAGACTTTTATCTGGTTCGCGAGAGCGTCGTGCCTTGTTACTGTCAGCGATTTATCCACGTCCTCCGGTTACAGCGATCTGTGCGTCTGGGATGACATGAGAGAAAATCCTATGGGATAACTTCCTGTTTCTCGCAGGGAAAGAGCCTATGTAAAGAGAGGGACGCCTTTAATTATTTCTATCATTGATTCTTCATCGGTTCTCTTCCTTTGTCTGTTTCATCGTGCCATTCCAGAAAAGAGAATTGCAGTGACGTCATATCCTGATACTTTTTTAAGGGCCTTGCTGAACGCGAAGGTTATAAAGACAATAGTATTTTAGCTATAGGGCAAAAAAATGAATTACCAGGGGACCTAGGTCTTTCCGGGTTGTCTTTATCGGGAAAACTATAAATAAAAAGTGACGATAAATCTATATATAAATGAAGGTCAATCCCTCGTTAAATATGCGGAACTTTGGATTACTCAAGTGGGGTGGTTAGCAGTTCGTATACCAATTGCGAAATTCTCTCCCTATACCGTCCACGTAACTCGTGCGCACCACCCCCTGCGACCACAATCACGCTCAACTTCTGGCCACAGTTCGGCTAATTAATGGAGACTGATTGCTCGACTCTATCTAGGTTAAACCGAGTGCTGACAGTGCTATCGGCCCTATTTAAATCGAAGTCCTTCGTACGGCAAACTCGAGCCTCTGCAATTCGTCGAAGCTGTACCCCTGGTTCAGCCTGCGGAATGGGGTCGGACGACAACTCTTTATACTTCGGCGAGTCTTGAAATTTCTATCGGGCAATTTCAGCAGTTTGCGGGGAGGTTGATACTTCGTGGAAATGATCTCACCTCCGTTTGGTAATCCAGTATACATGTAGATATGTATGTATGTACCTGAAGTTATACATCACTACCTGGTTATGGGTACCTTAACCACATTATAGACTATATATATGCATAAATTGGTATATATATATACATATGTATGCATCTGCTTACCTATATATATATATATTGTAGACACGATACGTAGATACATAACGCCAGAGGCGCATCGACAATCTGCCTATCCTCTATATACATATGTATGCATCTGCTTACCTTATACATCACTACCTGGTTATGGGTACCTTAACCACATTATAGACTATATATATGCATAAATTGGTATATATATATACATATGTATGCATCTGCTTACCTATATATATATATATATATATTGTAGACACGATACGTAGATACATAACGCCAGAGGCGCATCGACAATCTGCCTATCCTCTGTAAACGGGACATTGTCAAAGGCCGAAGGCAACGCTATGCCGAGAATTTCCATCCTACCTAGGTAGTCGAACTACCGCGAGTATCGCGAGGCTCTCGAGACCCTAGGGGCATCGCTGGCATTGTTCCTGTGCGTTTAGCGCCGTCGAAACTTTGTGTTTTCCCTGGCAAGTGCATCCGGGACTCTGGATAGAATATGCCGTCGTCGTTACGGCGTTGCCAGAAAACTTTTCTTTTTCCGAGCGGTATAGTATGCGGTTACCGATATACCAAAGGCTTCGATAAATTCTGTAATGGCGGTTGGTTATAAGGGAGACGGTGGTGGTGGCGGTGGGTATTGAGGAATCTTTCGTACTGTCGAGGATTTATGCCGAAGAGAATATAGCTGGTAAAAATCGATGGTTGGTATGTTAGGTATAAAATTTTTTTTTTTTTCGGTACCGAGACTTCTTCGAGAAACTATCCCGTCGTTCTTTCCGGTACTGGCTGCCGCCACGAGGATATGGAGAGGGATAAATTCGATATGAAATCATGCGAATCCTACGCAACCACGTTAAGGGGGGCTACGATAAATATCCAATTTTTCGGATCATTTCCGAATAGGTTCTGGTACGGTACTTGACATATTGCGAGAACTTTTGCCGATATTGGTCTCGTTTGTGGGTGGGTTTGAGATTTTTATTGTTTTTGCGAATTAATGGTCTTTGGAGAGTTCGATTTTGAGTTAACGGCGGATAAAACTTTTGGAGTCTGTTTCACAAGTGTTTTTACGTTTCTTTGGGAATGTACGGTTTTCTTTTTTAAAGTATAAATTCGCTTCATTTTATCGGATTATTTTTATTATGGGATTTCGAATTTCCTTTGTTTTCCAATATCTTCGTATAGATAAGCCGTCGTTATAGCTCAGCATCAGCAAGAGTTATCTCGTTCGTATTGCGAAGTGGCGCGTCAACGCTTCGAGATTTGTTGTCGAGTCGATTCTATTTGATTGGTCGCTAGATCGACTTGTCATCTCGAAAGGAGACACTTTTCCTGCACCTGGATTTACTCCTGGGAATATAAAATGGAAATTTCAAGTTTTGTTTCTTTTATCGTGAGATACTTCCGGGAGGGGGGGGGGCGATTTTAATGATTTTCTACGTAAAAATCATACTTCTGCCATTTTCGAGTCGATTGGCCAAGAATTTACGGAAACAACGTTACGAGCGATAATTTGGATTTTCCAAGTTATAACCATCACCATCTGCACGATAGCAGCAGCGGCAACAGTACCAGCAATAGCATCGTCAGTAATATAACGCAAGTCGCCGGACGATGCCAAAAATATCCATTCAGACCGTTCATTCGTTTTGTTCCTCACAAATCACTGACGTGTCTGATATCAGGTACACAGCTGTCGTCTACAATAGACACGATTGCCTTAGTTCTTAACTGTTTACCTGATAGCCATGCTTTTCGCCTTGAGATGATGCCATCTCTGGTTCATCTCATCCAGACGACGCTGCAGCATAACGGCGTCATCCTGACTGGCCAAGGAGCTCAATAATTTACGTCCCGTACCATTCAGTGATGCGTATACGTCACGATGAGTCTCGATTTCTGATTGTAGATCCTGCAACAGGAAAAACAATAAATATTTATATAGCGTATATTACTATTGTCATTTTGACAGTGACGTCACTGTCCCAGTGTAATATTACGAAGATTGTTTAAACACTTAAAACTTGACTCTGCTTTATTTGCAAAGAACTTTCAGATATCGTAACGTTTCACTTTAAGCATAATACATTCTTTTCTCTTCCATCTCCCGTTATCTCCGTCCATTTCTATCAATTAGGCATTGTGATTCCTTTTTAAACCCAGCCTCACTTACTCGATAATAAATATTAAGCATTACACGTATATTCAACTTTTCCACAAGACCCGACTATACCCAAGACGTATGTATATTGAGAACGAGAAACTCGACTTTATGGAGACCAAACTAAAATCAAACTGAGCAGCCGGAAACGTTAAGTAACTAACCAGTAGTACAAGTTCCACCACCAGAGTCCCACAGGATCCGGAATAGATCAGAAGTTTAAAGTTTCTGGCGCTGTGTTGTGCGAGTGTCAGGGAATGACGAAAGCTCAGTGAATTAATGGACGTTGCGCAGAGGTTTGGCTATACGGGAGCGTTGGGTACGTTGTCGCGTTAGCAATTATAAAAAAGCAGACGTGTGACGGGTGAATATTTCGTAAAAATTTTTTAATCATCAAAGCGTCAATATTTCACTTGCAATTTACCTGTCCTTTTTTTTTTTTCATACGACTATCAGTTTCAAATGCCAATATTTTTATTGACACTATTTCCATTTTCATATTTGTTCTGCGACGCTTACGGACGAAAATAAACCACGTCATTCGAGCTCCTATTTGGTCATCCATAGGATGCGAAATTGTTACGTGATATTTCTGGTATCTACGTTTAATTCGTGAATATTTTTCGCTCGTATCGATGCAGCATAGGCAGATATACATATATATATGTGTGTGTATTCATGCTCAGAAATAACACTGGGACGTGTTATAGTCGCTTGAAACTGTGTCACATCGATTGACAGTTGACTATACGTCAGTCCGATTCAATGACAGCTGCTGACGTTGTTTCTTGATATATAGTAGGAATGATTGAGCTTTTAACGCGGCTATGCGAAGCGCACAGCCAGTTGGCTAAATGCTTGGCGTTTGTCATTGTCTCGGTTTTGCGATCGATTAAAATGTGCAAAAATTGCAACCGTGACTCTTTCATTGATCGGCCTTCTGTACTAGCCATAGATAGGGACACTGGTGCAACGACCATTGACTAAACTCCTGTGCCTTCGGATTTCGTGATAAGACGAAATATTTGAAAATATAGTAACTGATAACGACGGATAGGAGATAAGGTAAATGAGTACGAAAAAAATGGTATTTGTCGAAAATCCATACAAGGGCCTCTGTCGCGTGGTTTCGTAAAAAAAAATTACCAACTGGAATAACCCGAGACATATAAATTTTGGAACCTCTTTTTCACATTGAAATGCTAAAAAAAATATCTTATCACGCCTCATCAAGCGATTACGTAAATCTCATCAAGAAAGATGGGATCCCGATACGTTTGATACTTTTCGAAATGTATTTTTACGATCGGAGACATCTTTTTCGGAATGGTTCGCTCTTTTCATAAAATTTACGTATGAAAGGGACTATAGATATATTCAGCCAGATATACTACGTAATAGTCGATATATTTTTATGCAGGAAAAAAATAAAATGAAAAATTATTTTACCTTCGGCAAAGTGACGAATTTCCTAGATAAGCTTCAATGAATTACAAAGCGAAGACCGCGACGCCAGATACTTACGAAGAACAAAGAGGAAAACTTAAGGAATCGAGTCCCTGTGTAGCTTCTCTATCCCGAAGACGTCGTATAAGAGACGCTAAGGTACGTAACTCAAGAAGATTTAAGGAGAAAGACTTCAGAATTCATAGCATCGGGATTTATAGGAGAAATTGCTGGTATCTTAATCAATGTCTAGGACTTAGTGAGTTCTCAGAGTGTCTCCTTGTAGCAACTAGCAATGATATACCCAGGGGGGGCTCTAACTGAGAAATTACCAGTTGAATTCGAGAGAAAGATTCACTATCTCGAACCAAGTAAAACGAGCTGAATTAGTTATCTAGATAAATAGCCTAAAAATTACATTAACTACCTACGTAATGAACCATTACGTATTAATCATAAAAATGTCATATATCAATTTCAATACTATAATCATCCCCAATCAAATTAATTTCTCGTCTATATATAGACCGTTAGAGAATCTTATAACATTCGTACGTTTTTTTTTTTTTCGTTGACTAGGCCTAATTCGAATATTACTGTGAGATAGAAAACACATCTTAGCATATAATTTATCATTCTGGTCAGCATTAGTTCTTCATTTCGGAGTTCCGACTGTAGGATACCACTTGAGGATTAAATCTGTAAATGAGTCAAAGGACTCCCTTGGGTAATGGGGATGCCGTTTTTACCTCTGTCCATAACTACTTCCTACCTTCGTTTCCATGACTTTGAGCAGATACTCTGATTGATCCTAGAACCGACGTCTGACTAAACAGAGATCAATTCTCCTGCCGGTGTAGCAACTCTCATTGAGCTTCACTGAAATCCAATAGGATTCCCAACAGAGCCTTCTTACCTTCTGCGTAATTTATTCACAATACAAAGTCACTTCAGTTAAATTGCGATTGATCGATTTCATTCGTCATATTTGTTTGTTTCATATAATCGACAATCGAGACGTTAATCAATAATCTTAAATTATCTCTTTACCTGTTCGAAGCAACGAAGATCGGCCAGTAGTGTGTAGGATATGTAAATGTAGCGTGCATCCCCGAAACTTCTTGCATGCACCCCCCGAGGGAGATATCCCTGCAGGGTGGCACGCCCTCCGGGCCAGGTGCCGCCCCTGGCTTCACTTTTACGATAATCCACCGTAATTACGAGTCTCTACACATTGTCCCACTATCCACAGTACGCCAGTATCACTTTTATTTTATTATCACATCAAGCCTATGATCGTTGAGAGTTAATTGGACCACATATGGTGGTTGCTTTTTTTTTTCATCCGGGGTTCAACGCGCTGAGCCACCCCAGTCGCTTTACGCTCATATGGAATATTTGATGATTACGTAATCTCAAGGAAAGGATGTATTATCTGATCTATAAAAATTTAATATCAAAATGAAATTTTGAGAGCATATTAAGCGCTGTAAAATTGCATAATGAAGGTTGAGCAAATTGTCATTTTTATTGAGGTTAATAAGAATTCTGTACGTCGCGAAGGATAGTTCATTACGTGGGTGATAAAAGTTCACGAATAACAACGGGTGATTTAAGACAAAAGTTTTACTTTTAAATGGGCATCTACTGTACGTATATATAGAGTGGAACACAATTCTCGTGCAAATCCGTTCCGCTAGCTGGGAAACCGGACGATATTTATCTCGGATGTAACCCATTTGCCAGGCAAAACGGCACGAACAGTCACGCGAGGGGAAGCGAGAGAGAATGTGAGAGTAAAATGAAAAATAGAATTGAGAGAAGGTTGTATCGGGATTTTCGAAATCTCTGCAGCATCCCTTGACGGTAGGATACTGAAAAATTCTACAGCAATAGATGTCGCTATAATGGAACTTAAAAAATTATTTGATATAGGCTTACACTTATTTCTCGCTCACTATACGTATATATACTGAAACAAGCATTACACGATATACCATATAGGGATAAACGAATGCAGGGCATTTGTCAGCTTAAAATAGTCATTCGGTCCGGGAACGGAGTTGAAAACAAATGCTGAATGGGAAAGGTGGAATATCTGAATAATGCATCTTGCAAATAGGGACGATAAATAATGATCCAGAAAGCAAGTAGATGGAGATAGAAACTAAAGCGACGAAGAATTTACAGTAACCTTCACCAATCAGTCCATCAAAGTATGCATATACATATATATATAAAAGATCGAAGATCGTTTGATCCTTTCGGAAAACCACTAAGCAGAATATTGCACGATGTTATACGAAGCGTAAAAAGTCCAAGTGGAGGGCTGATTTTCGTGGTGGCTGTTTTGAGACCTGACGCGATACCGCTAGGTGGTTTTAAGGGGATGGAAATAGCTGAAGTCTCATAAAAGAAGATTGAAGTTATGGACGCGTGGTACTAGACAGTCAGAGGGAACCATTAACGCCATCACGACTCTACTTCGACACTCGCTTTCCTGGTTTACCGTCGACGTCGCGACGCCATGGTAAAAGAAAAAAACTGAACTCCAATCGCTCACATGACTTCAGTCAAACGCGACCGCGTTGAGAGTGGTAGTTTTAGCTAGGATACATTTCGACCTGGCACTTTATGCATTTTACTCACGTAGATCTGTGGTATAGCTGTTAAAGTAAAATTTCCATTCGGGCGGAATGTCAAAAAAATATTTTCCTCTGACGGACGTTTAATTACTTTCTGAAAGGTAATAACCACGCTTCTGCCAAGTGTATTCATGTACCCCACTATGTTGAAGAACTTCACTTGGTCCTCGCAGTTACGTCATGCCGTGGAGGCTTTCGAATATTGACGTGGTACGTGATGTTATCAGTCTGATAATGCTCCTGGGGGATGAAAACAAAAAAAAAAGTAAAAGAAACAAAAAATATATAAAAGGCTTTTAAAAATGAGTAAAAGGATCTTAAGAGTGTTTTTCACCATGACGTTTCTCGGATGACCAACATTAGAGGCTTTTCGAATGACATGGCTGCTCTGTTACGTCACTGATGATATATAATAGTGGCAATGGGGAGAATGCGGCTGTTAGATTGTAAGGTCGGTATACGTGCACCCAGTATACTGCTATGGTGGCGGTTGGTCCGAACGGCGGGAGAGTGAAAAGGACGGTAAGCGGCTTGCGGACGATTAGAGAACGTCCCGGTAGCCATCGTCGCTCTCCGGCTTCATCCCTTCACCGATCAAAACCCAACTACCCCTTCTAACGGTTAAATATAAAGCCAGCCACAGTCGAGCGACACACTTTC